CCACCCGCACATTTCTCAAATCACCAGGTCCAGGACTCAAACTTGGTCCTCATGGTCAGCCATGTGAGATCCAGCCGCCTTAACCACCATGCCACGGACCCAGACCACACGCACCTGCTCCACACCAGCCCCTGAGCTCAGTACAGCCAGAACTGGTGCTCTAGTGAGAAGGGCAGAAAATGTGGGCACCCCCAAGCCTGCACCCCGCCCCAGTCCCCAGCCCTGGTGCATGGACCACCTTTCTCACCGCCCTGCTTCCTGGCCTTCGCACCCACAGCTCCCTCCACGCTCACCCTCCCCTGAGAGGTTGCCCCTGCCTGAGGACGAGGACGCACCCGTCCCATTGTCCTAGGATTACTGTGCTACTCGCCCCTGTCCTCTGTTGCTGTTTTGCTCAAGGGCCAGGTCTTTGTGTTACTCGCTGCTCTGTCTCCTGTCTCTAAAATAACTTACAAAAGGCGCTGGGGGGAACAGGTGTTTGCTGAAAGAAAGAAGGAATGAAAGCGTTCTTTCCGCCTGGAGAACCTGGTGTGGCCGTGCATCCGTTACGTTAGGGTCATGCCAAGGGTCATTCAGAGCATTATCTGCAGGCAGCACGCCCTTCGGGGTACCTGGCTCACTCACGCACGGTCTTTGAACCATCTTCCAGCCCTGTCCCCGCAACAGGAAATAATTCTTACCGACCTACGGGTGCGCAAATGCCAAGCGGTCCAGGGTGACCACCCACATCTCCCTGCGGAAAAGGCAGGATCAGACCATTCAGGTCCGCTTGGATGGTCTGATCTGATCAAAGTGTCTTGTTCAGCGGGACCAGGAGTTAGCGTAATGGCTATGTCGCTGGACCCCCATGTAGTTGACCGCAGTTCAAGTCCCGGACCCGGCGGCTTAAACTCACGCTGGGTGCATGTGCGTCCATGCCCAAGATCCCGAGAGGAGAAGGGATTGCAGTGTGGCCATCCCCCCTGGGGGGTGATTTCTCGCTTTCTGTCTCTCTCTCTCTGTCTGGTGAGTGCACGCACCCTATAGCAAAAATCTCTCCAAAAAAGAAAAAGTTTTCTTGGTATAGGGCATGTACACTCGTGGAGGAGACAGAGAGAAGGTAAGAAGTCACCTCCCAGGGTGGGGGGGATAGCCACGCCACAATCCCTTCTCCTCCAGTCTCTTGGGATTTGGGGAATGCACGCGCATGCGCCCTGCGTGAGTTTCAAGCCGCTGGGTTCCACTTGAACCGTGGTGGTCCAGGTGAGAGTCCAGCGCCTTCACCACTACGCCACCTGCTGGCCCCAGGACGGGCTTACACATCTGACTGGGAGTTGCCCTGAGTCTGGGGTGGGGAGGTGGGAGTTCCAGCTCAGTCACTCAGTG